CAGAGGTTTATAATACTTATACAATAAATTATCTATAAGTTGTGTAAAGTTAATTAAAATCTTCTATGTATAAATGTCTTTTTTGTCTGTATAACTTAAGGTTAGTTAAAATATTTTGTTTTAAATCTATTCTTGTTTATAAATATTGGAAATGCGTTTCATATTTTATATGATTTAATATTAAACATGTTTTTAACCAAATAATTAAAATATTACTACTGTATTTTATTTTCTTATAAAATATAAATATAAATCTATAATCAGCACAATTAAAACTTCAGATGTTATCTATGTAAACTAACTTAAGTTATAAAAGATTGCTTTTTTTTTACAAAATTTAACGAATGCTTTGCTGGAAAGATTCAAAATAAAAAATAATATAAAGCCTTTAGGAGTAAAATGACGAAACGGGTAGTATTTTGAACTTAACTTCTGTCATCCCTGTCATGTACGCAAGTAATTAAGATATTTAGGCCTATATCAAAGTATAGATAAGTGCTTTTAATATTACACATTAAAAAGTAACTTATAAGCAGCGGCGGCCTTATCCATTGCGAGGCTCTGGGCGGCAGATCTTTGCGAGGCCCTTGTCCTTTGTGCAAAGTATGTGAATTGAAATAGTAGGCACTTATTAATATTAATATATACTGTACTATAAATTAAATTTATTTTATTGTTATAACTAATAGCCAAGGATAAAATAAAAAGTTTTAAATATCAACTTTTTTCTACTTGGTTGTTGCGCGAGGCCCCTCCAAGAGCGAGGCCCCGGGCGATTGCCCTGCTCGCCACCCCCTAAGGCCGCCACTGTCGAGCCCCGTCCCTCACCACCCGGCCACACCATTGTGGGCCTGGTGGTGAGGGACTGCGCATTGTAGGAAACCGTACGAGACATGCTCGATGTCTTTTTACACCAAGAACTGAACAATGCGCATGCCAGTTTTACACCAGTTAGGGACTTGTGTTGAAAAAAACCTAATATTTGCAAAATACTCGCAATTATTTTTATAAATTAATTTTGTTTCATGATAATTTCACAATTTCTACGAAAACCGGGCAGATCAATAATTAATCCGGACATAAAAATTGATGTATTTTGTATTTAAAATAAATGAATTATTACAAAATATAAAAAGATTTTTAAAAATTAATAAATATATAATAAATTTTCTTTCATTTAAATAAAAAACTAAAGTAAATTTAAAATGTGGGTGTCAGAGTCGACACACATTTTTCCGACTCCAATTCCTCTGGCCAGAAATTCCTCCCGACTCCGATTCCACAGCCCTGGTTTCAAATAACAAAATCTTATGAATTGATATTGGTTAGAAAAAAAAACGACTAAAAACATATGAGCAATTATTTATTGTGACATTGTCACAATTCCAAGCTCCAAGTTTAAAATTTATTTAATTTAAAATATATGCTTTCAATCTCAAATTAGTACCTTCTTGCCCCTGTACATCATACTTTTCCTGTTAGCAAAAGTTGTGTTGTCATTAACTTTTTACAGGAAGACATTTTTGAATTGAAATAACATGACTTCCAGTTTGCATCAGAAGTTGATATATAGTTAAATGGAATCTCCTTTCACTAAGCTTTCCATATCTAGTCTCATCTTTCATCTATCTCACTCTGTTCTTCAGATTAATATAAGACAGACAGCAGCAACTACATTTCAAATTTCTTCTTTCTTTGTATATAGGATCTTTCATTAGATTTTAAAAAAAAAGAGTTGTACTCGATCTCAAAGTAAGCGAAGGAACACACAAAATTCTGTTCAAATCTGTGAAATTCACATTTTCTGATAACAAAAATTGACACTAATTCTAGATGACTTACCATGTGTTTACTTCCTTTATTTACATACGATTTCAAAATCTCTGAAGAGAAATTGATTTCTCTATAAGCTATGAATGAAAGAAATGTATTAATACATTTTTTAAAAGAAATAAAGCAATCTCAAGTAATAAAAAAACACTCACTGGGAATATCTTCCAGTCTCAAGTATTGGAAAACAATAGAAAGAAGACAGGAAGAGCAATTTTTAGGACATCCAACCTCACAGAAGACTGTAGGCCCCGTTCTAACCAGTTCTTCAAATTTTTTTTTGCAATCGTAACATAAGTATATGCTGAAGTATATTTTAGCTCTTTCTTCACAAACATAACATTTTCCAACTGGACTCAGGTAAAGATTGGCTTCCAATTCTTTGAGATAATCTGTTTCTTTTTGTCTTACTTCTTCCAATTCTTTGAGATAATCTATTACTTTTTGTTTTACTTCGTTTATTGCTTTGAGATCACCTGTTTCTTTTTTCTTTCCTTCTTCCAATTCTTTGAGATCACCTGTTTCTTCTTTCTTTCCTTCTTCCAATTCTTTGAGATCACCTGTTTCTTCTTTCTTTCCTTCTTCCAATTCCTTGAGATCACCTGTTTTTTCTTTCTTTCCTTCTTCCAATTCTTTGAGATCACCTGTTTCTTCTTTCTTTCCTTCTTCCAATTCTTTGAGATTGCCTGTTTCTTCTTTCTTTCCTTCTTCCAATTCTTTGAGATCACCTGTTTCTTCCTTTTTTCCTTCTTCCAAATCTTTGAAATCATTTGTTTCTTCTTCCATTCTTTCTGAAATATTAAATAGATTTAAGATGGCTTCTATGCAGATAAGATTTTGTATATGTACCATACTTTGTTTCCTACATGTAAGATTTTTTATGCCATTACAAAGTTAAGGGTTTCTCATTATTCTAATATTAAACTTAAGCTTAGATTGCATTTTAACTAAATAATCCTATATTTATACAGAAAAAGTATCATTAAGAAATTAAGCTTTTATCTGAAAAGAGGAACTACGTTTATCAACATACTAAAGATTTTTTAAAAATTTCAATTAAGGCATGTAATTTTGACAACATTCCACGTGAATTTGGGAAATTCAGGTGGGTTGTCAAATCAAAAATTCATTTTTTTTTTGCTTTTCGGGGGTTGTTTTTTTTATTTTGGGTTTTCTTTAAGTTCGAAACAAATCCATATATAATCGCCGCCATAGATGGGCACTAGGTTGTGCAGGGTCTTACTACACATGATTCGATGTGCGTAGCTGCGTACAGATGAGACAGTTGACATTTTTCAACATCTATGACCCTAATGCCAGCAGTTAACTTCTGTGCTTATTACTGTGTTTCTGCTAAGCTACGCACTGTGGCTACTTTCTCGTGCACCATCCTGTATAATAATAATTTAAACGTAACAACTGTGTCTACTTGCCTTAATTCGGGACTGTCGATATTGAAATAATTTACCTATGTTTGGGCCTTCTAAAATTGGAATTGATTCTTCTATTATTGTAGTTTCAACAGAAATATCCTCTGCAGTCACCTGCATCTTCTGCATTCCCTCCGAAAAAGTTTCCTCTGCTCCCATTTCAATGCCTAAATTGGATTAATATGTAGTAACTAATAACATGTAAAATTGTAAAAGTTCTATGAATAAACTTACCAATTGATTGGTCACTTTCTTCGTCAATAAAAACCCATTGATTATCACTATCGCCTACAAAAAAGAAAAGAACTCATTAAACTGGAAATCTGGAATTAAATGTGTGAATATACATAAAATTATTTTCTATAACTGATATCATTGATGGGATTTAGAAACAATTGACTTCACACAACAATTATTCTGTTTTAATTACTTGTAAATATGAGATTAATTAGTCGAGTTCTAGAACAAAGGCACGGAGTCTGCAGCCCTTTGCAGCTTCTAATGCAGCTTAATAATGTACAATGGTACAAGATTAACATTTCTGACATGAATTTTCGGTTACGCCGATATGATTTATATTGTTACATATATACTGAGCACATGCTACTGCATTGCATTCAGCCTTATGAAATCCCTCTGAAATGAACTATGGCATTTCGATTACTAAAATGTTTCACATCTAATCCTGAAGCAATCAAAATTACACAGTACTAAGTGGAAACATATGTTTACAAAATTTACAACTTGTATCTTAATGAAAATTTATATTATGGAAGATTTTGTGTCCTATTCAGTTTTAAGTATAGTAATTTATGTGAAATTTATAAATAGTCCCAAGCACTTTAAACATTAAAAATGAAATAAAACAGCTTTCATACTGATGGTGTTGCCTGACATTCAAATCAACTCAATTTAAAAAATAAAGATGCTCAAAAAGTCAATAGAGTGACATCAAATGGCCGTATTTTGAAAAGTTTAATCAGATTTATCGTTATAAAATTGTAAAAGATGAGACAACCTTTAGCTCGAGTTAGATATATAAAATTTATCATCTTTTCCCAATCTGCCCCCTCTCCAAAAAACCATTACTTTGGATTTAGCGTCGTTAATAAGTAGTTTATAAGACTTACAATAATCCTGTAGAACATTAAATTTCCTCTGAAGACAAGTAGATGAATACGAAAATATTACAATATCGTTGGCAAACAGAAGACAGTTCAGTTCTACCTCTGGTGATATAGATATACCCATAGTACAGTAGACCCCCCCATAACATTGTAGATAATTCCATGTTATATGAATTCCATGTTGTACGAGTCACTTAGATTTTACAAATATGTGAGCCGTTCACAGCTCGGCACATGTATTTGTAAAATCTAAGTGACTCGTACAACACGGAATTCATATAACACGGAATTATCTACAGTGTTATAGGGGGAGTCTACTGGTATTATGACTATGAAAAAAATCTGGTAATTGTTGACTAATAAACAAAATAGGGCTAAATGGTTCACCCTGTGAAAGACCTTTATAATTACCGCTTCTGAGATACAACGATTAAGTTCAATTTGAAAGGTGGTATCAGAAAAAACAATTGTCTTATAAGATTAATAATAACTATCTTTGAAAGCTTTCAGCATAAAATATGATGGTCTATTGCAGTGTTTCTCAACCTTTAACGAATCATCACCCCCCTTCAATGTACTATCGCCCTCTTCAATAAAACCGTTACGTAGTATTGCCTCTTTCACTTCAAAATTCTGATGCCCAGGGCCAAGGCTAACGCCAAATTCGTACTGCATTGAATAGACTAGTGACTAGTATAATGTTATTTGTTTAATCATTGTACTATATAACAAATAAAATATCTAATTATTCTTAACATAATGTTTTACTATATCGCCCAGAAAATTGTTTTTCACCCCCCAAAATATAAATTGTTATTAATTGTCCCCTCAACATGGAAAAACGCCCACATGGGGGCGATATCGCCCCCGTTGAGAAACACTGGTCTATTGTATCATATGCCCTTGACAAATCAATGAATCCAACATATAATTTATTACTTAGCTAAAACTGGGATGTATGGGGTTCTTAGAGAGGTAAGTAACTTTTGAAAGTGTCAGTCGCACTGAAATAGTGGACACCATAGACTGTTCCCCATGAGGACCCAACTCTCACTTATGGTTCCAAGTAGTTGGTAGTGCATGCCAACGGCCACACCCTGGGAAACCACCTTGGCTGGTGGGCTAGACTAAGTGTGGATATCAGTAGTATCATCCGCTACTGGTAGTTAGGGTGTGCCACTTTATAGTGCACAAAGTCTGGAATGGCCAGCATGGCAGAAGAAGCTATCAAAGATCAATAGTGTAAGGGGCATGACAGTAAAGTAGGTGACATACTAAGGGCACATTCTTGGCATCTAAAGTGAGATGTGGCCAGTCATTGTGGAAAAGAATGGAGCCACACCACGTACCCTCCACCATAGTAGGCCATGAGAATCGCTACCACTAATAGGATGAGTTATAGGGACAAGGTTGAACCCCCTGCAAACTGTGTCTCTAATGAATGCTCAGTTGTGTCCTGAGAACAGTAAGTTTGACTCTAATATTAGAGAATATGAAGAGGCCATCTTAACCCCACCTAGGAGGATGACATCAGAAATACCCAAACTGAAGACCAGGAATGTACTCCTTAACACAGAAACTTGGAATGTGAGAACATCGTATGAACCGGGAAAACTTGATGATCTAGATCAAGATATAAAGTCAGTACGGCTTGATGTAGGTATTTGTGAAACAAGAGGACAGAATCAGGAAAGCTAAACAAGAATGAATTTACAATGATGTACTCAGGAGCACAGGCACATGTAAATGGAATAGCTATCATTATGAAAAATAGTATAGCAAGATCAATTAAGGGCTTCACTGCAGTCAACGAGAGAATCATTGCAGTAACGATAGCTGCTCAACCTTTTGACATTCTCCTAATACAGGTTTATGCACCCACAACTGGCCACGAGGAATAAGACATTGAAATATTCTATGCAAATTTGAAGGAATCAGAGAAAATGGGAAAATCAAATGATATAATCATGGTTATGGGTAATTTTAATGCAAAACTGGGCAATGAGAAGATATTGGAATGCATGGGCCAATATGGGCTAGGTAAGAAAAATAAGAGGAAATAAATTCATTCAATTTTGTGAGAAAAATAAGTTGATAATCACCAACACCCTGTTTAAACAAGAAGAGTGTATACATGGAAAATTCTAGGTGATATTTGCAGAAATCAAATAGACTTCATTTTGATTAAGGAAAGATTCAGAGATATTATAAAACAAGATAAGTAATATCCTGGAGCAGTTATTAATTCGACCATAATCCAGTTGTAGGGAAAGCAAAAATTAAACTAAAAACCTGTAAGCAAAAATCAGTATCAGTATCAAAAAATGTGAAGAAATTGAAAGTTCGGATAAAGAAAATAAAATAAAAGAACTCTATGAAAAAATCAGAGAAGTCACTTTTAAAAAATGGTATTTCAAGCACAAGGTATGAGATTTAAATGGGAGAATAATCTTGGAGACAGAAGAAATAATGAAAAGGTGGTATGAATATGGAAAGGAATTATTCCAAGGTGACAGGGAGGAGAGTGAATCACCCAGGGAGTTAGAAGGCCCACCAATACTCAAATGAGCAGTTGTAAAAGCCATTGATAAACTTAAACCCAGTAAGCCCAGACAATATAGAACCAGAATGGATCAAAGCTCTAAATGACAGAGGCATCAAAGCCCTAGCTAAGTTATGCAATGACATCTATTAACTGTGATACCTTCCTGAATACTTCAATCTATATTTGTTCCAATCTCCAAAAACCAAAAGCAAATAAGTGTGAGGATTTTAGAACCATATGCCTAATTAGTCATGTGACAAAGGTTCTAACTTGTATCTTGTTAAATAGAAACAAAGGAAGATGGAACGAAGGCTTAAGTGAAACACAAAGTGGTTTCCAAGAGAATAAAGGAACAAGAGAAGGTATTTTCAATCTGAAAACTATTATTAAAAGATATAAGGAACAACAGAAAAATATTTATATATGTTTTATAGACTATACAAAGGCATTTGATAACATGAAACATGATTACCTTATTAAATGTCTATTAGAAAATAGTATGAATGAAAAGGATGTCACATTACTCACCAATTTATACTGGGAGCAGAGAACTGCAATAAGGATTGGCAAAGAATTGTCGCAAAACTCCCCAATATGAAAAGGAGTTATGCAGGGTTGTGTGCTGTCTTCAATTTTCTTCAATCTTTATACAGAAAGAATTTTTAGTCAAGTCAAAGATCTAAAAGGAGTAAACATAGGGAGCAGAAATTTCAATAATCTTAAGTATGCTGATGACACTGTGCTATTAGCAGAAAATGAATGGGATCTAATGACGCTGATAGAGGAAATATCAAAATTTGGACTAACACTGAACTACTAAAAGACCAAAACTATGGTCATTTCCAATGAGAAAAACTCTAAAAGTAAATATTAAAATTTGAGACAGTAAACTAGAGCAGATCAAAAGTTATGTCTATCTGGGACATATCATTACAGATGAAGGAAGGAAGGATGAGGAAATTGGAAGAAAAATTGGAATTGCAAGGACTGCATTTACAAACATGAAACAAGTGTTGATATCAAGTGAGATTAGTGTGAGAATCGGGATTTATTAGATTAATTAGTGTAAGAAAATACATTATTTCTCTACACATCATTTACAAGAAGGGAAGTTACATTCATTGTTTTTGGAGAAAAGGGAAATCGGCATCTTTCTCACACGACCTTATCTGTAATTTTGACGACCATATGTCTGTTTACTCATCTCACATCCTGTAAATTCTGCTGTTTCTTTACGCTATCGGTTAAAAAGTACAATAAAAAGGGGTGATTTTTCCAGCCATTCAGGGGCAGTCTATAGAAATCCGACATTGCCACATAGATGACAGAGAGTCCTGAAATTATGATCTGCCATACAAGATGCATCTCTTTGTTCAAAAAGGTCTCCATCATATTTTAACTTTGTGTGCCTACATGAAGAAGAAGACAGTCCCACATCCACCTCCCCTACTCCCAACTACAAAAGACTACTTACCAACTTACATAGTAAGATAGTACAATTTATATTATACTTGTAAACTCTCTCTCGCGAGGATAGGATAGAAATTGTTACTTTCTCATTTAAGATTAGCTGTAACACTTGACATAATAACATATCTAAGAATAGAGACTTATTTGAGTTAAGTTCGATTATGCTAACTTGTATTCAATTTGGAGCAATGTATATGGTATATTTCTTTTATCTATTAAACGTTAATTGTTATGTTTGCATATTGATTCCATTTATTTGCTAAGTTCAGACCATTCACCCGCTATGAGTTGGTCTTATCCGCAACTCTTCCCACTCATCAACGTAACAGCCCTCCTAATTAAACAATAACTTAAACATGTGATAGGGAGCAAATTCCTTTCTTATCTGGTTTCGGAAGCTGCAGATGATGGGTATATGATTGCCTTGTCTTCGCACCTTCTTTAACTTTTAATTTAAAGCCATCCTATGACCTTGTGGGCAACTCCTATACCAATTAAGCGATAAAGAGTAAAAACTAAACTCTTTACTCCCCGGTTATCCTCAGATTAATATACAAACAAGAGTTAGGTTGGCAAAATGTTTGGTCTACCCTGCTTTATGGAGCAGAGTTGGACAATGTATGCAAATAATGAAAAGAAATTAAAAGCATTTGAAATGTGGATGATTCAAAGAATGCTGAGAGTTCCTTAGAGTGCAAGAAGAACGAATAAAGATATCCTGGCAACTGCAAATCAGAAAAGAACCTTACTAGAAGTAGTAAAGAAAAAAAAGTGAGTTATCTGGGGCATGTACTGCGACAACAAAGTCCACAAAAACTATTACTGGAGGGAATGATTGAAGGGCAAAGAGGCAGGGGTAGATCAAGAATGAATTGCTTTAACATCATCAGGAATTGGACATACTTAACTTATGAAGGATGCTCAAGAGAATCACAAGATAGATCATGGTAGCGTGAAATGGTCATCAACCTCCTAACAGGAGAAGGCACCTAAAGAAGAAGAAGCTAAGACTAATTGCAAAATTCCAAGAAAAAGGAATAAATAGTAACCAACACATCTATATAACCATAAAAGTACCTTAAAAAATCCTTAGTTATGGTTTCGTTTTTATGCTATTACTCTACATTTTTTCTTTTTACTTTCATGACTGATGATTTCTATGGCAATCAGAAAACTGATCTCCATCGAAGATTTTTACATTTTTGGACATAGGACACATTGAAACGTGGAGAAATGCAAAAAAATTCGGGATAATTTCTCTCCGTGTGTGTGGGGGGTACGATTTTTTTCATCCTGTTTGAAGCTTAACTCCTGTGCTTTTTGTCGAAAATTTCTGAAATTTTGCAGGGAGGTTTGTTTATTAGGAGGATTGATGCTACTAAATTTTGGTGGTTAAAGGTCGAGGTGGTGGGGCGATAATGGGGTCATGTGTATCTCAAGTAGGGTAGGACTTAATGACTATTTTACTCGTTATTAGTATTTAGCAATTAAAAAAAAAAAGAAAACAAATCCCTACCCTCAAAATAAAGCTTTTTGCCATTTTATAATAATAAAAACTATATAACGTTTTTAATAATAGAATATCGTAACAGATGGTGCAACACACGCAGTTTTATGCTGCTGGGAAAGTTAAGCAAATGGTTGCTAGATTTTTATTTTATGTATTATAACAATTGTGATATTTAGTTGCGTATAAATACTAAAAGATAAATGTCTTTTATCCTTGCAGTTATACTGACATTTCACTGTATTAATTTATTTCAGGTATTGAAATGGAGGAAACTGTTTCAGAGAGACTACAGATGATAGACAACTTCACTGGATAATCCTTTGGAAACTAACAAGACAATCAAAGAAACAATTACATTTTTTGGAGTCTCGCATATTTATTTCAATATTGGGTATGCCTAAATTAAAGAATGTGGTTGCATCTTTCCCCGGATTCATTTCCTTTCAAAGGTGACACACCTTCCGAATGTATCACCAGGAACCTAACGACAAAATTTGTCTCGGAAGTAAAATCTAACATTATCAAATATGAGCATGAGAAAAAAGGGGAGGAGGACTCGCAAATAAGAGAAAATCGACGACGCCAAGCAGTTCGCCTGTCTTCCAGAGTTCGTCATTCATCTTTCCCCTCCAGAAACTTCGATATACCACCTACCAATCTATCACCAAGTGATCCACATTGATCTAAGTTATGTAACATTGTACGGACCAGACGTCCTCCGATCTACCTATTTGCCAGGTCAACCTCTCCAACAAGCAGAGAACAGAGTATTTATCAGCATGCACTGAATGTAAACTCTCTCTCTTGTGGTTAGGAACCAGCTGAAATTCCTAACTAACCTCCTATAGTTGTAAATATATGTATAATCCTATGTAAATAAACGGTTATTAGTTTCCGTTAAATGAGTAATGGAATACACTGATGTTTTCTCACATCCATAGCAAGTCACATGACCTGGCTTAGACGTCAGTCGGTCACGTGACTACAGCCCACCCGGGCGCGTTTCCGGATAGCTTTTCTTCTTGCGGAAGAATTCGTTTTTTCTGCCCTATAACTTGCGGGCGTCACGTGATAGAGCAAAGCCCCTTACGTTGCGTACCTTAATAGCGTCGCTGAGCTGCATTTGCGAACGAGGGTGAAATAAAGAAAAAGATGGCGACGTCTGTAGAGACAAAATTTAAAAGAAGGGTTCCAACAGCATTCAAAGTAGCTACGAAAAAAACTCGAAACGACACATACCACTTACATCATATACATTGACGTGCGCTTTCCACAATTTGTAAATTTTCATTCATAAAAACCAAATAATGGGCACTAAAATGGAACTATCTGAGCCATGGAGCGCTACATATGCCGTCAATAAAACTATTTAGTTACTAAACAATACATCTTTATACTACACCTAAAAAAGACAAAAGAAATTAGGAATAAACAATCTAAACATTGATGAATATTGTAATTAATATCTTAGTTTGGTAAGATACATCTTCACTTCACGGAACAATGCATAACGAAATTTCATATCGGTGACCGGAAAAATTACAATTTTGCCTAGGAAAAAGTCGCAGCAATAAAACTGACATTTCTATTTATCCTAACCGGGGATTAACGATCCCCTCTGAAAGCCGGCTTAAAAACATTATTATTATTATTATTGAGCATGTGTAATTATAAATTTGGATCGTGAGTCGTCTCTGACAGACTATACATAAAGTTGCTATTTTCGGGGGTCGACGTTGGAGAAAGACAATTGTTCTCTTCTAGGAGAATTGCATTTGTCATTTTCTAAAGCAGATAATAAACAAAACAAAATATACTTGAAATTAGTCTAGCATATTTCTCCGAATCATTCTTATTATTGATAAGAACTTATCCAGCGACATTTTATTTCAAAACGTTAGAATTTATATGTATTAAATAAATAGCTGGATATGTTTTTACCCTTAACTTCCTGTAGCGCCTTAAGAAAGACCCTTTCTCTCCATACTAATGGCGAGTATTGTTCTAAAGCGCTTAACAATGTCAAGAACACACAAGAATATTATCTTAATTTAGATTTTGGTAATTATGTTTGCTTATTATTTACAGACAGTCATCCTAAAATGGGAAAAGGACCCTCCTTTGTTTCTCTCCCTCTTCGCTATTGTGTTTCAAATCGTAAACAGCTGCACCTAAGGGAGAAGCCGGAGGTAAACAACAATTTGCAGGTGTTCTAATCTTAACAGGAACCACAAACTGTCACAGTCATCCTACTCAGTAGTATAGGAGGAAATTAAAGAAATGGAAGCGTAAATTAAATTCGATGAAAACCTAAACCATTTTATTTGTACGAAATAAGTAAACAATACAAGCAACACAATACGTGGACTTCGTACTTGACCTACTTGTTGATAATCGTCAAACTTGCGGGGGGTCCCTCAAGTTCCTTATAGCGAAAATGCACTAAATTAAATTTCAATTTTGAGTTGATTTCAATCCTTTTAAATTATTTAAACCACGACGAAACTTTTTTTGGGGAGACTTGCGTATTTATTATACTGTATTTTTAGGTAAAATATTTAGTTTTACGGCGAGTTTCAAATTTAATCTTTCCCGTAATTAAAAAAATAATAATAATAATTTACTTTCAAAACTTGCCTTCTGAATCAGAAATTACTTGCGGTCGTTCGTCCATTAACGTTTGACTAAACAAATTCAAGATAAGTCGAATGAATGGATGAACAGGCCACTGTAGCACAGAGCATGCAGACACGTGGTTTACACGTGACTGGAAACCAGTGTTGCCAGATATTTCTAGCTTTTGTAGCAAAATTCAAGTAGCCGACTCAAAAAAATGTTTTATTATAAATAACTCTTATTATTTAGTTTGAAAGTTGACTAATAGATTTTTTTATTAAACCAAAGTGAACATTGAAACAGAAAACATTACACATATTAAGTAATAGAACATAAATGCCTAAATCCCAAAGTACAGAAAGTAAACTAGAGAACAAATTAAAATATTAAATATATTTTGGATGATAAATTTAATAAGTAAAGTTGTTTTAACTTTACTTTAACCCTTATTAAATTTTAACAGAGGGTGGGAGCCGTACTGATAAAGGGTATTGATGATCCCAAAATGCACATAGTTTTTTTTTTAACTCTCCGCTTTGTGGGCACTAAGAAAACCTTTTTAACGAGCCCATTAAGAGTTCGGCCAGGCCTATAATGCGGCGGTCGGGTTGTGAGGGACGGGGCCCGACTACTCCAATAAATTCATGGGGCATTTCGATCCGTCCGGTTATGACCCGGGTCCCCAAAGCGGCAGGCTGTAAAAGTGTATTTAAAAAATTTTTGCCCTAGTAAATTTTTATCAAAATCAACTATCTTGAATTTCGAAGAATTGACATAACTCAAATAGATGCTGTATTGAACTGACTTCCCTTTCTGCTGAGCCTGCTGATCTTCAGCCATTGATCCCTAGACACACTGGCGGCTAATTACAGAACGATTCCGTAGCCGTAGTTCCGATTTATACCACGAGATGTCGCCACTTCGTAAGGTCGAGAAGCTCGACAAGAATAATTTTAATTTACAGTCTGTTGTGACGTCACTGAACGCAATCGGTGTAAGTACACAACAGTCAGAATTAATTTATTACAAACAAAATTTGCTACTTTGTAAATTTGTCTTTTGTCTAATATACTATTTAATGTTTATACATGTATTGTAGCTTTAAAAGATGACTATTGTTCATTATTTTTATCAAAATATTTCAAATTATACAATATATTATAAAAGTTATTCTACAGAATAAGTAGAATTTTGTTCTGAAATTTTTTTAATCTCAAGATTTTCCTGCCGAATTTTCAATCTCTTACTCGAAATGTTTGTTTTTTGTATTATTTAATAAAATTATTCATTGCTTCTTAGAAATAATTTAAACGTTTTATACTAGAAAATTTTTTTCGTAGGCATCTTTATTTGGTTTTCACGAGATTTTTAAAAAACCTAACCCTGGCGAATACCAAGAGTTAAGTGTATCTTGCGTAATTTGAGTAAAGTCTTTCGAGTTGATAGTTTAAATCCATCAACAAATTATCCTTGCCAGTAAAATATTATTGAACTTTTTGTAGCCTCATTTAACAGATTCGCAATCATTTATTTGAACGTTTCATCCTAAAACTTGCCTCGGGCCGGCACTGGTCTCTATTAAGAATGCTGACAAGTGAAAGTCTTTTATAACAGAAATTTTAAAGGCAAAAATATTTTTCCGATTGTTTCTGATATTGTTTAAAATACAATTAAAATAAGAAAAATAATTTAAAAATTAGATAAGAGTGTTATTAATCTAAATTGCGTCGACTTGAAATTGCAATACGATTTTCCTGATTATTTGCAAAGTAATCGAAAAAATACGTACTTTTGATTCGAAGGGACGAACGATATTTCTTTAGTATGAATTCATGATTATAAATGAATGGAAGAAATTTACGTAATTAATACAAACAAAGTATATATTATGCAAAAATTTAAATTGAAAAAAATAGATTATCTGAATTAATTAGAACTGAATCTTACAGAAAGAAAGATTTTTTAGAAGAAGAAGGAGTGGTTTATAGACTTCAATGTGTGTGTGGAGTACCGTATTATTACGTAGGAGAAACGAAGCGGAAACTTAAGGTGCGGATGTCGGAACATTTGGCTGCAATACGAAATAAAATTAATACATTCCCGGTTTTTTTGCATTGTCACGTAAATAATTGTCAATTGGATATTAATAATGTAAAAATAATATATAAAAAAGTATAGTTAAGAAAAAAATGCAAAGTAACGTTATGAATTTGAATAATGGAGTGATGCCAGCGGAATGCTGGGAAGACTTAGTGTTATTTCAGGATTGTAAACGCGATGGTACTAGTGAGAAAGATGTGTCTTTCGTAAATGTTGGAGTGTCTTCTGTTGTATCTTCTACTGAGAAAGATGTGTCGTTTGCGGATTTCGTTCCTGTTGTGCATTCTGGTTGTAAGAAACCCTACTGAAGAGGCCTTAGCAGGCGAAATGCATTTGGGGTGAAGTATATTCATTAAAATTAAAGTGTTTTTCTTTATGTTAACCTGTTTACCTCTTTCTTAATTTTTATACCAGTTTACATAATCGGGATTTATTAAGCCTCCAAAAGTCAGAAACGAATGGAAAACTGGCAGTTTTCCGTGTACTAGTGAATAGTGCAATACGGTAAAAAATATACATATTTAATTCTTATTTTTTAGTGTATACTAATGTAAATGTAATATTGTATGTGTGTAATGTGTGTGTGAACTATTTTACGAAAAATATATTACAATATCATTAAACAAATTTTAACTGTCATAGATTTCGTACGCTCTACACACCCGAATTACTGAAATTATTATTATATTTGTATACAAAAAAGTGTCTTATTATTTTTTGTTTATATTTCGTGGAATAAATTTAAAAATATTTCGGATATACTTTATAATAAATTGAACAGTAAACACTTCAAAGGCACAATAATTTATTGTGGGAAAAAAGCAACACAAAGATTAATTACTTTTAGTTGCAATCAAGCTCATAAATTTTAAAAATAATAATAATAAATCTAAGATCAAACACTTTCATGAAGAAAAACATATGAATATATGTTAAACGGTGTGCAATCCAATTCTATTTCTCAAATTTAAACGGAAATTTAATTCTTTCAGATTAAATGCAAGTAACTCTTTGTTTCATTCAAAAAAAATTTTGCAGATGCCTTAAAGATCTCATTAAAAAGAAGCTTTTATATTCACGAAAAATAGCATTTCTCGTGCCACAATTCCTCATTTTGTTATTTAATCGAACCATTATTGAAGGCTAACAGATTTCTGTTTTACTATTTCAATTGCCATTTTCTTGGTTTCTTCCCTTGCAGAGACAAGTACGGTGATTATGCCTCCACAAAGGGACATGACAATACATTCTGATGGCCTCCGCATTCTTTTTTTGTAGAGACAAGTACGGTGATTATGTCTCCACGAAGGAACACCTTGTCAATTCCTTGTTATGTCTTTCGCTTACATTCCTCTGATAACCTTCGATAACATTTTAATGACATCTCCACGAATGTATTAGAAATTATCCTTCGCTCTGTTTTTATTAAGCATTAATAATTCAGCCGAAAGTATAGAGCAGATAATACGATGGCGCCTGCCGATGAAAGTTGCACACCAGATATTTGGACCAAATAATTTTGTAATGTGCCTTCGTTATAATTGTAAGAACAATAAATTTTTCTAATATTAAAAAACCTATAACTTTTTTTCTTTTTTTGAGCTAAACGGAATGTAACGATAATGTACATTCCGCCATTTTACTTTTTTCTTTTTAAACAGGAGCAGATGATAGGTGGAAATCTGCGGAAAAAATCCACAAAAACATCGAAATATTTGGTCTTTTCCTGCAAATAATAAAAATGTTTCGTAAATAAAAGATGAAGATAAATTAACAGCAGGTTCAAATTACAATGTTTGTTGAAAAATAATATTACGAAGGTAAAGTAACCAGAATGTATAGAATCATTGTGAATACAAGAGAGAAAACGAGTCTTAAAATATCAAAATAATATTGAAATTGAAATTCAGCGAGAAACGACAATGAATTCATAAGTGTAAATTAGGCAAAGTTAGAAAATATTTTCTTACTTTATCATCATCATCCGATTTACTTTTGTATGGAAATCTATCATCATTATTTCTTCTTTTATCCAATCGACTTAATTTTTTCATCTGTTTATTTCTTCCTGTCATCTCTTTGTTTTGATTCTCTTCTATAAAAATCATTTGAGAATTTAGCTTTATATAATTTTATATCGTAATGCCTACACCTATTCAAACACATTCATTATAAAAAATGCATCAGTCTAATAAGTTTATGTAGAAATATATATGTGTATTTCTATATAAACTGTACATTAAGTTAGAAAGTAAAATTATTGTGTAAACAGTGAGGTAATGCAATATAATTACTATGTAAGTAAATGTCAAACCGGATTTCTTTCATTGTAAATAAATTAGAGGATCAAAAATATAATACACTCAATATTAATACAGATCTCTGCGTGCCTTTTACGAATTGTCTGTTTTTTAAGTGTATTTGGATACAGGCGTAGACTACGACTTTTATTAATTACACCGGATGTCGGAAATTATAATTCCAACAAATTTATATACAAAAAATTATATACAAGTTTCGTGTTACATTTCAATAGAATTCGAATTTAGTCCTCGATGTCTGAGTTCTACAAGCGTTTATTGTACGTTTATACACTATTTGTTTACGTCACACACTCAAAGAATGCGGAGAAAGCTTAAGTTTGAAAATAGGGACGAGTTGTATACAAATTTGTTAGAGCTAAAAGCGTGTAAAATCTTTATAAACACTCATTATGCTTGAGACGTGATGGGTGACCCACTTCTATTTTTTCCCTTCTGCCATTAAAATTAAATGTCTACGATGCCCCTTATTAAACGATTTACCGTGCAAATTTCAGTTTGTAATATTTATCTATTCAGTGATATTAAACGAAATAGACGTAAATACACGCACATCCTTATTTCATTTCTTTACTTTTTCTGTTCGGACGTGTCACAACCATTCCAAAAACTTCCAAGTCAAATATTATAACAGCCAGAAAAATAAAATTCATTCAATTATATTAAAATCATTGGAAATTTCTCGACATATACTTTGAAGGATAATAAATTAATTTTCAATTAAATTTCATACGAGAAGTGGCCAAGTCAATGAATCATTTCGTCAATGTTAAGATCGAGTTTGTTGCAATTATTTTGTTTGTTGGTTTACTCCTAATTAATGATGTTTACCGCTGAGTATTTTTATAATGTGGTTGAAATTGTTAGTTGAATAAAAACCGAATTCAAAAGTGTTTTTGACGAAATAAATGTAATCTTTGTAGAAATGAATGATCTATTTTTGAATTGTTTCGAATATAATAAACTACGACATACAACACACGT